TTCCAAATTTGCGCGGGCGGCACGGGGAAAGCTGTTTTTTTTTCCCACCTCAAAATCTTTCTACAGTAACATGATTTTTGATACTGAGGTGTGGAGTGAAAGATGTTTGGACTGGGCGGTCATTGAACGGGTTGGGTTTTGCTTTTCCTTCTTTAGGGTTTTCCCCTACACATTTTATACTTGGCTTCTGTAGATCTTAGGGGTATAATCATCATCACCCAAAGCCTATTGACTTTTTTCAACTTATAAGTACCTGTTGCTTTTTCGACGACAGTTAGATGTTACTGGCTGGGTTTCGCGCATAGAGAATGAGTTCTCTAATAAGTTAGACTCCAGAAGTAAGCTGCAACTAGAGTAGACCCATGGGATCAATGGAACTTACAGAGGAGTTGACTCACCAAATCCCCACTGATTCTATGGACTGACTTGTTTTATGACTTATTTCTCGATTGTTATGGATTAACAGCCATACTATGTTAGGTGACTATATCCTATTTGCTGGACAGAAAGCATACAGAACTATCTGTTCTTTACATTAGTACATGAGTTTATATATCATTTAAAAGTTATATATTATTAAATATTTGTAAGACGCTATACATTACAGCATAAAATTACATAGTTCTGTTCATCTCTTAGGACATTTTAAAAAGCTTTAGACTGTTTTTTCCATTTTCCAATTACAGTGATCAATAATTTAACCAATAGATAGAAAGTGCATTTTATTTTAAAATACAGTTTTTTCTGTCTCACTGGCAAATGTATTAAGTGTACATGAGATAAGCTCTTAGAATATATCTGAAAATAGAAAACTGAAGAAACAACACAGCGGCTGAAACTCTGTTGTGTAGTGTAGTAGGTCACAACTAGAGGACGCCCGTTGAATTAGTGGGAATTTGGTCAGTTAACACGTACATAAGTATCACTGATTCAATGGGCTTATTCTTGTTGAGACTTCCTATACTAAGCAACAGGATTTCAGCCAATGATCAGCCAGTTTCCACCAGGTGGTGATGGCAGTCTGTTGCAACAAAATCAAGGAGGTGTCTTGTAACACCTTAAAGACTAACTAGTTTTATACAGTATACCACAATTTTTATGTATGGTAGCTCACTTCTAGCATGCATCTGAAGAATGCAACATAATCTCACTCATCCATTCCATCCATTGAAACCTCTGGGCTAAATCCATTGTTAGTTCCAACTAGAATAAAGCCATGGAACATTTGTGGGAATTATAAATGAAGTGCCTAAGAAATTCCATTCATTTCAAGAGTTTACTTTTGTTGAGATTCACCTTGGCATCAGCCTTTGCTAAATCAATACTTCCAACTGCCTCTCTTGATTTTCATCATGCCTTCAATTTATATAGAGACTTGAAATCTTCATTTTGTTTTCCTGTTATAACATGAACACTGCTCTGAATGGCAAGTCAAGCAGAGCTTTTTCCCCCCTCCATTTCATAGATTAGGAAATGCTTACAGTTACACAATCATGCAAGTCCCAGGTGTCTCCATTACAGGTTTCTATCCACCTGACTATACTAAGAATATGTCACTCTTAGGTATAGGAACCCCTCACTTCTTGACTGCAATTCAAATTAAAAAATGGCATTAAATCATGCATACAACAATTAGACTTTTCACAACTTTCCACACAATTGATCATTTGCCTCAAAATGGACCCAGAAATCCAATTCTTTTCATCAGGTTTATCTATAGTCTAAATCACTATCATTTGTTTAATAACATGTTTGTGTTCATCCAGTCAGAAGTCAGGCAGGAGGGGAAAAACTTATGTGCTTTATTGAGCAGTAACAACACACCATAAACAGAAAAGAGTTTTGCAAAACAGCCATAGGTTGAAGGTTTGTTTGCAGAAACTATTCAATGAATACTTATGAATAGTGAGTCCACTGAAGGGATGAGAACTGATTCATTAGCAAACAGAAAGAAGTGCTAAATTTCTTGGATAATTTATTCACAATGAATAATTCAGCTTCTCTCAATAGCAGTCAGTCTACTAATTTTTGAATAAATTGTTCAGCATAATGCCACTTGTATTGGGAGGCTTACTTTTGATGACAGTCAATTGCAAAATATTCACTGGCTTAAATCCTGTTGTTTAGTGTAGTAAATTGCAACTAGAGTAGGCTCATTGAATCAATGAGGATTTTGTGAATCAACTCCTCCATAAGTTCCATTGATTCAATGGGCCTGCTTTTGCTGTGACCCACTATACTTTTATTTATTTATTTATTTATTTATTTATTTATTTATTTATTTATTTATTTATTTATTTATTTATTTATTTATTTATTTATTTATTAAACTTCTATCCCGCCCTTTTAGACAAAGTCTATTCTGGGTGGGTTCCATAAAACATTACAAGCTTACAAGCTAAAACAGTTTAAAACAATTAAAAACAATAGTAATTAGTAATGCTTAGTAGTGCTCAAGACTGACTGATTAGTGCTGGGTTAGTTCTTCTGAACTATGGGCAGTTCAGAAGAATAGAAATAAAGTAACATTAAATAACAAGACAAAATCAAACAAAGCACCAGGATAAACACAAATAAGCAGATTAATAAAAACTAAGCAAACCCAGACAATGGCAAGATGGTGGCGTAATATGACAAAGCATTAAAGGTGGATATTCTTAAGGCTTCTTCGGACAGCTTAGTTTTGAGCATCCTCTTGAAAGCTGAGAGGGACAGATTCAGGCGCAGCTTTACTAGGAGGCCATTCCATGGGGATGGTACCATTAGTACCATCTACCCGAATCACCCGTCATAGCCAGCAGGGATGGCTGAGGGGCCTGATGCCGACGGAGGCTCAGAAGGAAAAAAACAAGGAACTGGGCCTTCTCTCATTTGCTGGTGTTTTGGAAAGCCAGCTTTCCAAAACACCAGCAAATTTGGCTGGTGTTTTCAAAAGCCAGCTAAAAACTTGGCTATTTAAACAGGCCTTCCCTCCAGTCAATTAAGTGATTTCTATTCCTAGCTTTTTTCTTTTCGTCCATGCTATGCCATCTTGGCAACGTCTTGGTCGGAAATCCACTGCTTAAATGGTAATTGTAATTGTAATTATAATTGTAAATACTGAAAAATTTTATGATTTTATATGTATATATTAATGTGTTTTAATTGTAAGCCGCTCCGAGTAGACATTGCCTAGAGGGGCAGGGTAAAAATCCAATCAATCAATCAATCAATCAATCAATCAATCAATCAATCAATCAATCAGTCAATCAGTCAATCAGTCAATCAGTAAAAATACCATAACTGAGAAGGCTCAGTCAGTTTCATGTAGATGTCTTCCTGGCCTCTTGAGAAGTTGAATTAGGGTATTCTTGTCAAAATTTACAAACATTCAGGTCTGTGCCCCATATTCTGCCAAACACTGAAACATTAGCTCAATAAGGGCTATTTGTGCAAATCAGTGATGACCACAGAGTAGAGGAAAAAGCCCAGGGATGCTCATGATGCAGAGCAGTGTACTCACACAGGACCCTCATGTTAAATGAACAGTCATGGGGTGAAATGTGTTAAAATTTAAAAGATGCAGTGTGTGTTTAAAAGCTGTGAGAAGGAAATTGGAAGCCACTTATTCATAAGGAAGAAGCTGAACTGGCACCAAAGAAGAAAGAGACTGACAGCTTTGCCCCACACCACCTCTGCATTACAAGGCCTCTTCTACCCACTCTAATCACTGAAATACTGGGGAAGTTCTCTGAGGTCACAAGACTATAGGAGCCATCCTGCACATTTCTTAAGCTGCAGTGTAACCTGAGGGACTTCTACTGGTGTAGTATACTGTCTGGGCTGTATAATCTCAAATATTCCTCCCCAAACCCCTTTTTATAAACATAGTGGCTGCATTACTGTGCACATGTATCCATATATACATAGATAAATACATGAATTCTTTTTTTGGATGTGAAATAAAGTAACTTCACACACACACACACACACACACACACACAGACACAGACACAGACACAGACACAGACACAGACACACACACACACACACACACACACACACACACACACACACACACACAAGATAAATATCTGAATTCGTATAAGGATTTTGAGTGGTTAGGTCGGAACTTTACGCTGTAATTTTATTTATTTCTCATCCTACTTTGGTTTCTCTTTTGTTGTTGGCACAGTGGTGCCAGTGCCAAAATTCATACTAGGTATCTCCTGT